TCTTTCCCTCCACAATCTTTGTCTCGCAGGTTCATCTCCTGCTCCTCCTCCACTGTTTTGTTCTTTACAAAGCCTAATTCTTGTTTTTCATTTTATGAACAATGGGGTTTGTGGGTTTTTCTTCAGGAACAACACCAGCAAGAGTTGTGGAACTCCATCAAGCCCGAGACCGAAACTGGCGCAGCTCAACCGGTGGGTCATTACAGTGGAAGGGACCAAAGGAAAGCAGAGGACGGATACAACTGGAGGAAGTACGGACAGAAACAGATGAAAGGAAGCGAGAAACCTCGGAGTTACTACAAGTGCACTTACCCAAACTGCCCCACGAAGAAGAAAGTGGAGACTTGTTTGGATGGCCAGATCACTGAGATCGTTTACAAGGGAAGCCATAACCATCCGAAGCCTCAGTCCACCCGACGATCATTTCATTCCACCAAATTCGATTCATCCGATAAGCCCATTAGCAGCAGCAGTTTTCATCAGACAGGTTCCTATGGGATCCAACAAGAAGACAACACTTCCGGGTCTGTTGGAGATGAAGAGTTTGAGCTTGGCTCACCTGTTTTCAGCCAAGAAGAAGATTGCAGCATCGAACCTGAAGCAAAGAGATGGTAAGGAGGAACTGTGAGGCAAATCCTAAGCTCTAAATGATGCTTTATGTGATATATGTCTGACCCATTGATGATTTGTTTTTGCATTTTCAGGAAGGGAGAGACTGAAACCGATGGTGTAATTGGTAACACAAGCAGGACAGTGAGAGAGCCAAGAATTGTTGTGCAGACAACAAGCGACATAGACATTCTTGACGACGGCTACAGATGGCGAAAGTACGGGCAGAAGGTCGTCAAGGGAAACCCTAATCCGAGGTACCACCTCCACCATTGATTGGACTAAGAGACCCTTTTGAGAATCTGTAGCCTTAGAGATTGGAATCTTGATCTTGCTCTTTCTGACCGGTAAATATGTATTCAGGAGCTACTATAAGTGCACCACCATCGGATGCCCTGTGAGGAAACATGTGGAAAGAGCATCTCATGACATGAGAGCAGTCATCACAACCTACGAAGGGAAACACAACCATGATGTCCCAGCGCCACGTGGCAGCGGCTACTCCTCGAACAGAACACTCTCCGACTCCAACGGCATGGCCCCTGTCCCCATTAGACCAGCCGCCGTTGCTGGACACTCGAGTCACAGTGTTTCTCAGCCGCCATACACACTTGAGATGGTGCGGAACCCACATGCAAAGGAAGAACCGAATGATGTCTCCTTCTTTGATTATTTTTTATCATGAAAAAAAAGCTTTCTTTTTTATTTTTTGTACTGTTCATTCCTGCAAAAGGGTTGGTATCGATCTTCTTGCAGCAGCTTGGAAAGATTAGTCGTAGGGCGATTCTTTCATTTGTTCTTGAGCTCGGCACACTTGCACTATGTTGTTTTGTACCATGTAAACTATACAATAAAAAAACTTAATAAAATTAATCAGCTTTCATTAGTATTTTTGTAAGTAAGATCGTTATTGAATGCATCAATTTATAAAAAATATAGTAACTTTTTAAGAGCTTTTTATCGAACAGTTACTACTACTCTATTTTTTGCTCCTTTCTAATGTTTTTTTTTTTAATGTTTAGTGTTTTTTTTTAATTTCCAAATGTTTCCCATTTTGCGTGTTTTATATAAATGATAAAATAATATCACCAAAATGAAGCGTTTACAGACCATAGGCCCATTAGAGTTATCGTCCTTCAGAAATTGCCAAAACGATCCATTATAAGCCCAATAAATTCAGCTCATATGGGCCTCCTGATGTTAACTCCACAGATAATAGCCTAAAAAAACAAAAACTAGTTCCAAATATCAGAAACAAAAAAAAAAAAACATTATTTCAAACTTGAACCCACGCATTTTTTTTAAAATTTAACCAACAACACTGTGAAATTTTGTTTTTGAAGAATTCTCAAGTAAAACTTAGATTTGTTTAATTTACAAAAAAAATCATATCCTTTAACCTCATCCATCTTTTCTCTGTATAAAATTAATTTTATTAATATAGACAAAATATTTTTTTTTTAAAAGTAAAAATCTAACCACTAAAACACATTGATTATGGTAAACGTTATCATATATTTTTAGTAGCATATATAAATTAAATTTGGTTCATTTATTTTAATTTTTATTGGGATTTAATTTGTGTCTTCTAAAGAACCAAAAAAGTATATCTGGTTTGATTTCATTTACATTACACTTTCTCTAAAATTCTAAAGAAATTTAGTTTCTATTTAGTTTACTTAAGAAATTTCTAAACTGAATTTTATTTTAGTTAATTGATTCAAAAAATATAATAATTAAATAAAAGGAAAAAACCCAAAACAACCCTCAAATTTTAATATATATATATATATATAATTTTATAATGATTTTTTTAATGTGATATGTTTATCACATAGTTTAATAAAAAAATAACATTTTTAGAATTTTATTTAGATTTATGTATGATTAAGATTTTAAAAAATTGAGGTTTATTTAGATTTATGTGAATGGAGTTTTAAATGGGTTTTTTTAAAAGTTAGAAAGTTCCTTGGATTTTTTTGAAAAATGGTAGCCAAAAGTCAAAGATCTGACAATATGTTTTGTCCATATGAAGGGAGATCTCTTGTGACTCAATTCGTTTAACCTAAATCGTATTTGCTAAAGAAATGAATTTTTATTTCTTGAGAAGAATAAAGAACTGAAACTGATTTTCGTACCCAAAAAAAAACTGAAATTGAAAATTCATAGGTGGCTTTATGTTAATAAAACACGTGCTAGCCATCTTACAGTTACAATACAGATCATATTCATACCGAACTCCAAGTTGTCATCTTTTGAAAACTTCAAGCTCCATATATATATATATATATATATATGAACACAATAATAATAATATGATCATCTCCTCTCCTATACAAATCTCTCTCTCTCTCTCTCTCGTTTTACTACAAGAGCTAGCAAAGGATGCCTTGTCTGAACATAGAGACGAACGTCAAATTGGAAGGAGTTGAAACAGAAGCTTTCTTCTCGGAAGTCACCAGAGCCGTAGCTTCCATCATCGGGCGTCCTCAAAACGTAATCCACTTCCCTTCTTGAATCTCTTTTTTTTTTTTTGACGAAATCCAAATGGGTTTTCTTTAAACGTAATACATATATATATATATACGCATACATACGTTTATATATATATATATATATATATATA